GAATGTTTTAAAAGTGGGAGATAGACCAAAGAACAAGGTAAGATGATATCAGTTTCATGTCACGCATGATTACGTACTTTTGCTGCGGATTATTCCTCTGTCATCTATGATACTTATTTTTCAACGCTTTTAGCAGTCTCAGGTGCAAGCAGAGCGAAGTCAGAAACGTGTATTAGTTGGGTGAGAAAAGTGAAACACATTCTTCCACTCTGAGGAAACCAGCATGGCCACCATTCAATCCCCCGAGAACATGATGTCCAGAGTATTTTTTAAAAAGTTTTATTCCGTGAGTTGTCATGCCTCCATAACCCCTCGGTGTGTGCTAGTAGGACCCTCGAAGGATAGATAGGCTTCCTCAAGAGCTCAGCCTACGCGACCATTATTAGCCTGTTCCTGAAGACACTTTGTGCCTCGACCTGTTTTTTATTCCTTATCTTGTTTCCCCCTTTAGTCCGAGGTGGGCCCATCCCATCACTCGATCATTTTAATCCTTGATCACGGGCTTAATCCTTGATCTGCGAGGGTCGACTGGGTTGAGTCTTCGAAACGAGTTCCAGGAAACGTACCCCATTGTGCTAAATTGCTTTCAATGTCGCTAACTCCCAGTCGTCGTCGTCGTTGAACGAGCGACTGCGGGCTTTTCTTTTGGCAGGCGACACGAGCAATTTCATTTCAATGGGCTTCGGTGCCCATTTTCAAAGATTCAGGTTCTCACCGATTGTGGATCTATGCATGTGATTCACGCTTGCCATGGTAGCCTCATCTTGCAATGAGTATATCTAAACATTGACTTGGCTCGGTGCTACTTCCTCGTGGCACCGATGATTTAGAAATGGCACCGTCTTCGTCGATTGAGGTGCGAGAAGAATTTGACCTCGGTTGTTAGTGACTGAGGCTCTCGTTATCGCCACGTGGCCATGGCGGTAACGAGAATCTATTAATGATAAAAGTTCAGGACTCTCAACATTCATTAGTGGCGAAAATGGTTCACGCTCTTCCTTTGGGCGAAAGATTAAGATGCTTTTTTCTCGCTTCTGATAGATGGAACAATGTGTCAGGAGAATGTTGCAAGTGAAATTCGCCAATCACAAAATATATCTAATATTCATCTGAATTTTCTAAATGAAGATAGCGTTGAAAATTTTAGCAAAGAAATAATATATTTTCTTCATAGAGGTCAAACATCTTCTAGTACGTCATTTTTAATAATTATTTTTTTCATCATCCAAAAATTGTCAATTGTCTTCCCACAATGAGCCTTTGGAAATCCGTGGTGGATGAATGCAAATTTAAATATGCGTGATGATTATATATGAACATATTTCAACAATGAATCTACTTATTAAAATCTTATAATTTTTCACGTGTCATACCACAAAATATTATTGGAAATAGACTAAAATCTTATATGTTTTTATCAAAAAAGTACGTAAATCTCACATCGTGATTCACTTTACAAGAAATATGAAGACGTCTTTTTTTTTCAAGAAAATCATTATAGTTTGATGTAAGATGATATCTAAACAGATCAAAATTAGACTACACAATGTTTATAATGGAGATTTTCTTTTTGATATTCAAGGATCCAAAATGTAGAGTTAATTTAGGACATAGAAGGGTAATTTTTTCCTCAATTATGATTTAAAAAAATTGAAATTAACTGAGTAAATTTTTAGTAATTATTTGTTGGGTGACAAACTCTTGAAGCTAATTATATTCAGCTCAATCTTCAAATCAATGTAAACATTGACCTGCCAATTTCATGGATTATATGTTCTTTTCTTTCATGTATTTCATGGGTAAAAGTATTGTGATTGAAATCATAGAAGTTTTATTTGTGTAAAAGAAAAATCATCGCCAACATGAAGAGTTGGAATTGACTCTCAATCATTGGAAAATATCTTGAAAACAAATAAAGAAATTACTTTAATGTCTTTTTCAATATGTTGAAGTCCGTCTTTTCAAATTTAAAATCAAGTTTTCATACCATTCTAGTTTCCATTTCCAGCCCGACAAAAACTTCTATGATGAAAACTTAACAAGCCAAGTGCCGAGATCATCATACTTGAACAATAATGAAAGATAGTACTTTCAAGCCCACAGAAAATCACTTGAGTGATTCTGTGGGTTGTATGACTCAGAAGACTTCTCTTTCCACTATCCAAATGAGATGCGAACAAATGCCTGATATACTTGCTAAAGCAAAATTGAAAGATAAAAGTGCGCTCTTGCTCTTGCCCTTGCCATTATTGCATTTGAACACAATAATGTGTAGCCATGACACCTTGGACTACCTTTTTTGTAACACAGTAACTATCATCGGCAATATAAACATTGTCATCATCTGTGAAAAGATCATTTTGGTGACCCGCTTTGGCATCATTGACTAATATTTTTCTTATTATTATTGCCATCAAGAGTAGTCTGCACTGAATATACTTCTTCGTGATCGGTATCTGAATGTTTTAACAATCCAGTATTTAGAGCTACAGACTCCAGCAGCTGCACTCCACACTGTCGACACTAAGCTCGCAAAGTATGGGATCAAGACAAAAATGCAAGAATTTCTTCTCATGTCTCAAGACTTGACCTCCTCATTATGTCAATCACCCTCCTCCTCTCGACAATCTAAAACTCGTCACTAGCAGATCTCCAGATCGTAATTTTCTTGACGCTTACTCCAGCATATTGTTATTGGCAAAGGACTCATGGTTTTACATGATCGTGCCGGATATTGAAAAGAAAAATAGTCTTTTGGTCATGGTCTATTAGGAGCGCACCGCTCATTTATCACAAGTATGAAAACCACATATTTGCTGCTCTTGTCGTCTTAAATGTGTGACATTTTAGACATTGAATACAATCATTTTTTCATAAGAAGAATTATTTTAATTTTCTCATACACTCCATAATTATAAGTTTAAAATTTCAGTTTCCTTATATACAGGCTGAATAGAATTAATTTTTAGATAATTTTCAGAGGGAATTTTCTAAATACTACGACTTTAGAAGTATTTACATTGATTAAATTCCATGGATATAACATATAAGTTGAGTGTATCGTGTAAGTTAGAAATTGCATCGGTTAGTTATAGGTATAAGATTTCTATCTTGCAATCTTAGATTCATCATTTATTTCAACAGATTCCATCTGAAAACTGATAATTAACGGGTTTTGGTTACTTTCTTTTCAACAATATTTCAAATGAAGACAGTATAAGTTGAAATGATATGTTTAAAATATCCATGACCTTCCATGATATTGTATATTTTTTACAATATATAGAAATATATCTATGCATTGGTACAAGGAAGAACTTTTCATGAGAATCTACTTTTGTATGCGTTACCTTCGAAGCTTGGAGTTTCCCCTGCAGACAAAAGCTAACGAACGCCTTGAGTCTTGGAAAAATACCTTAGAGTAGAATTTTTCTGCCGGAAATTTGTTTTGCAAGGTTATACACTATGACGGTAATCTTCCTGATTGGTCCGTGAGTATATTTTTGGATAGATGACGGTGATTTGACTCCAACTAGAAAATCAGAGGCTGATAAATATCTGCAGAGATACTTAGACTCAAACAGCTATACTTCGCATTTCTTATAATAGAGATAGTAGGGTTATTTGTGTTTTAGAGTATCTAGCTTAAGAAATAAACTAACTCCATTAATCAATCCACTTTCAATCTGCAATAGATGGGCGAAGTGACTTGTATACAATATATAATCTGAATCCATGCTATGAAGATTCAGACTGAGAATTCCCTCCGTGATTCAGACTTCATCGCTTCACAACGAACAATCGAGCTGGCGGAAGCAGATAAAATCCGGAAGAAGTGTATATAACTTGGAACAAATGTGACTTTTGCTCAAGTTTTTTGTTGTTACCCATAATGATCCTTGTACTCGACTTGGGAAACATGCCTAAAAGCATGCATTCAAGGGGCTGCTTGTACACTTGGTCGAGTAACAAGTGTCATATACTCGAATGCAAGCATCTGCAAGACCTGGCCGGTTGAAGTATGTGAGCTGTGCCATTCGCAGTATATAGGAGTGCGACGGAGTTCATAATTTCCCAGTTGCCGACGTGGAGTGTCCAGCTCATCTGCGCAAGTCCCAAGTTCGATGCGAAAACCTCCGTTACAAGCCTGATCTGCTGTGCCAAGTGGACAGGCAAGTCTCGGGCGAGTGTGAGCATCCGACCCACGAATCCGGCGGAATGGTGCTGGATTTGACGCAGCCATGCTGGCCTCCCTCTCGCTCGGAAGGGCAGGGAGCAGCGACGGCTCCAGTGCGTAGGCTCTAAAAAGTGAGGGGATTGTGCAGGTGACACCGTCCCACGGATATCTCCCCAAAGGTCGTCGTGCATTATATGCAAAGTTGAGCTCCGTTGCAGCAGCACCCACCTACTGGGACCTCGATGGTACAGTAGCGCACTGTCCTACACTTCGCCGCTGGGAAAATGAAAATTCTGCCGGCTGGAGTGTACTGGCCCCGGATTGACCGAGGTTGTCCGGTCAAAGGTGTCCTGCCTGGATCAGCAGGTACGTCAGACACCTGCCCACCGCAGGAATTGCCAGGAAGGTGGGCGCTGAAAAGCTGCAGTACTGAGAGTGCTCATGCTGAGTAAGGTAACTCAGCATGAGCTTCGTCCAACTCTTCAGGAACCAAATCTCACACACCGGCCATTAAATCGACTCCGTTGGCCGCGGAGATCCTCCTGCTCCCGACGACCGCGGATCTGTAGCCTCGTGGCCTTCTAGCTGTCCCAGAATCGCAATTCCTCGTTGTACACGGAACTACCTACGGGTGTACTTACCGCACGGGTCATTCCGAGGAAACAAAACATGAAGAAGAGTGCGCAAGTACATACATCCGCACTTAAATCGGGGGTTCATTTATTATCCGAGTACATTTCTCTCTAGGTCTTACCTCTGCATCAAGTTCGGCAACGCGTTGGACAACTCTTGACATTCGTGAACTCGATAGTAAGCCCTTAGTGCTGCATCTGAATTCAAAATTCTGTATTTCCTCGTTCAATGCTCTCCATAGAATAGTTTAGACATATAAAATTTCATATACATAATCGAGTTCTTCTAACAAAAAACACTTCGATTTTGGCTTCTAGGAGTGTGATGACAAAGAACTACATATATTTCGGTGACATGAAAATCAGGTCACCTGAGTCCTTTATTAACGTTCTCTCAAAGTATAACCTCGTTAAATTTGATCACACAATCGTACAGCCGCCCTCCGAGAAATTCTGCCACCTCTTGATGCTTGACCTAGAGATACGACATAGAGTCACAAAGCTATGGTGTTAGACTTGACAAATTGAGGAAAGCTAACAACAAGTATCCGAAGTAAGTAACAGAAACAACCAACAATCATGAAAACTTTTGAATGGATGGGAACGTACCATTCCGACTTTGAGAGAGTCGCACTTGAACTGGGCATACAAATTTGTTTCAATGGCTCGACCCTGCAATAGAACAGGTACTTGTCAAATAATGAATGGAAAAAAACTGAGACTGGTGGTGATGGCCCTATGGAGAAAGCATTTAAATCATGAGCTCCTAGCATTGGTTAAGGTTCAAAGTTTGACAGTCTCTTACCATGCCTTCAAGTACGACAAGGTCCGCGTCTTCACAAGCATATGCTAACTCTGGCGAAATGTGTGAAAGATCTAGAACCTGCAATTCAAAAAACATCGGACAAATTATTAAATTATTATAAAACATATAATAAACAAAAAATGAAATCAGTTAATCAGAAGAAGTGATTGAGACAAATTCAATCAATGATGTTATATTCAGTCCACACACTCTTTCCCACAGCCTAGCTAATCAGGTCCAACGATGAGCAAAGAACATCGATGGGCAGATATCAGATGATTTACCGGTAAGTCGCTTCCAGAATTCACTACGAACAAATCATGTGCATTGACACCTAAGATGGAGTCTTTGCCGGCCCCATCTTTGAGCTGCATCTCAACATCAGTAGGTTTAGAAGTCATGTATCAGTGTTGCCCTGATTACTAAGGACAAACAAACTAAAATCATACAAAAACACATCTTAGTTTCCATATCAATTCTATTAGGGGAAATTGGTCCATAAATGTCAATGGGTACGATCACCCACCTTTGCAACAATATCTTTTAGTTCATCATACGTGATGTCATTGATTGAAGGGAGATCATTGGCGGCCAGTACAACCTACGCAAATCAAATTGCTCTCTTAGATAACCGAGTTAACTTCCAAAATCACTCATGTAATAAGTGAATCGAAATCTGGATTCTAGTTCATCATCAATGTGCCATAAAAAAAGGGAATTTTTTTTCAGAATGTACAGAAAAGCCAGACGCTACGTTCCTTTATCATCAAGGGATTGAATCCAGTGGTATTTATTATAGATACCATTAATCTGAATAATTGACATATATCATGAATCTGACTAAAGGCGTTCAAATTACTATACATCAAACTCTGAGAGGTTAATCGACAGCTACGGAAAGACTAATACCAGATACTGCTAGGTAGGAAGTGAGGTTGAAGAGAACAGAGAAGTTGAACATAGACGAGTAAGAAAAAACTATGATCTCTCCTCAGACGTGATTAAAGGCGTTATTATAAGAAAAATGTAAAAGTTTAAGGTGAGGGAAACCAGACCTTTGTACCCCGTCTGAGTAGCTCCCTTGCAAAGGGCAAAATGCCAAGAATCACATCCGAACCTGAATTATCAACAAATATAACTGCCTGCGGACCCAAAGACGGCCATTACAAAAGAATTACCTCTTAAAGACTATCATGAACTGTTATTGACTTGAGAATGAATAAATGACCGCGCGACACATGCGACAGACCAGGGACATGCATTGGAAGACCAAATAAACTGATAACGTTATTTCCCAATGAACTACTAGACACATTTAATAAGAAAAAATATTAGTATCAGTACTGAAGAACTGAATTAAGGTACCAAGTATGCATTTTGTACCTTCTTCCATGGTTTTCTCAGCCATTTTTGCTTGAATTGATCAAGGTCATCTATAACCCACGGTCGAGGCAGAAGCTGTTGACAACTATCTTCAAAGGAGCATGCCTTCTCCGCAAACTTTTCTGCGAGCTTTTATGCCACATAAAAATTCGTTACGCACAGCAACATGGAAACAACCCGGGGGAAAAATGAGCGTTTGGTGCATACAGCCCAAAGGTTCTTTGTCCATCCTCCAGTATAATGTAATAATTGCTCACATAAGCTTCCAGCCTTCAAATGAGTTTGAGGCGTCAAAATAGCTATTCAAAAGAATAGTGTTAAACCTGGGAAGCTCCAAGATCGAATATGTTGCCGGCAAAAACACCTCTCATGAGATGTTCAATGCGCTCACCAACATCCTCGATATTGTCTGCTGTCTTGACCACGTCGGGAAATAGAGCCAAGCATTTCGTATTCTCCTCATCCTATATACATTAAATACGTCAGGAAAGAATCAGGCCTACTAAGTGCCAGACTTTAAGAATTAATTAACAATGAACACCTTTCATATCCGCATTTTAATTCAAAACTTCGACTTCGGTATCTCGTGCGTGAAAATTGCTTCTCTCGGTCTATCTATGATCTACTATGAAGAACGACTGATACCTTCACGTTCTTATAAATGTCACTGAATCCAACTTCCCGAAGGCAAATTTCGCGAAGTCTAGTGAGAAGCTGCGGTTGTTCAAGTCAAGATACTCTTCGTCAGATGCAAAAGGACCATACGGAGCCAAGGTATGATTAATACATATCAACTAACAATTAGCTCACGATATGAAGAATATGAGGGTATGATTTCTTCTTGTCAATGTTTCTATGTCCACATCCAGGATACGTACAATAGCGTCAGGAGGGCCACCATTGCTGAAAGGATCAGCCTCTAGTTCATCCAACATTTTTCCATACCTACAATGGAGCAGATTGTAACCAATACATGTAAGCTTATTAACTCACGTAGAGTGCCAACAGTTCAGAGGTTGGAGCCAAATATTTCACCTGACAATCTCCTGCATTCAAACTGCCTTAAAAAACTATGCCCAAGCAAGGTTATATTGTCGAACAGGTGGTGAGACTATTGCCATATAATTTCTTACCTCTTGTCCAAACAAATAACAATATCTAAAGGAAGGAGTAACCATGGTAAAGCGCGTTGAGAACTAAAGTTCGGAGTAGACACAGATAAAGAAAGAGCTGTTCTTGCGGGCGGGTGACTGGGCAGGGCTGGCCGCTGCCTGACGAGCTGATTTCAATTACGAGAAGAATATTTAGACATACTTCAAAGTCCTCGAGGGTGGCTATCAGAGGGTGAAGGGTATCAGAGGGTGATAATGCTCATATAGATCTTTCGTCCACTTTTTCGAAGCACACTGAAACACTTGCTGCTGAGCTTAAACCTTGTAATGCCAGAAAAAATGTTACTGGAGGTGAGCCACTCACAACCTGTTTTGCAATATAGCCGCAATTAATAGAGGAGAGTTTTTAAACAAGCAGTTAGGTTTCATATGTAACTCAGTTCGATACTAAGTCCTCACATGCCGTCCCGTCAGTAACTTGACTGGCTACTTTGACGAGTCGCTAATGCAGTCTCTTTTATGTAAGTAACAGCATCGACCTCTTTATATTAACAATTTATCAGTTGTTTTTCGAAAATATTCACCTAGTTTTGACTACTAGAAAGGTAATCAAAGTCAGTAATGCTAAACGCGTAGCAACCCGAAAAAGACGAGATCATTCTATTAGTATCTATATAGCAACGAAGAACGTATTTGATACGAAACTACACGGCCTTCTTTCCTCTCCCTGACATCTGTAAATATACATATGAAAAAGGCTCCCCGAATACAAAAAATAGCAAGAGAATGAAAACACACTGAGATTTACGACAGTAAGCTGGTCGTTGTATCTCATGCGTCAAGTCTGCATAAGAGCATTTTCCTTCCTAAATGCAAGTGGCGATAAGAAAGATAGATTTGACTGTCTCTCGTCCAACTCTGACACCCGACAAAATCATTGATTTGGTTTGAAAATTAATCCTGATCCAGCCTGACTTAATCCTTCATGTCCTTTCTTACTTTCTAGAGATGCTTTTATTTTCAAATCATTCAACCTTACAAGTTTCTCTTCTAAATCTCAGCTTTTTGTACAAAAGTTTTTGTTACATGCCCAAGAAACCACTCCCATTTACATGGTACGTCTGAGAGCCGAATGTACTACCCCAACCAGACCATATCAAACTGTGGATTAATCTCAAAGTCAGACCGTAGTAGTAACTTAGTAACCATATAATTTACATTGGACTGACAGTGATTTATAAAAAGTAGACGAAATTTACTTCAGACTTATCCTTGTAGATTTACCTTTGTGGCTAAGGTGTCACGCGCCACCAGGTTTTAAGGTTTTGGATATGTGTGGGGCCAGGCTCAGCTTTTAGCCTGAAACTTTGAAAAGTAATCACGTCAGATAAAGCAATAATATCATCTTGCCAGTGATTATTCTTTCAGGTGTGAGATGTGAGAGCGGTGATAGCAATCTAGCTCAATCCAAGTTGGAGCTTGATAGTGCGGAATGCTACATTGAGGATTTTCAGCTCAAGAGCATTGCTAATAATCTACTTGAGGGTCAGAGTGGAGGTACGCAAGCTACGGCAAGTGCAAGGGAGTCCACAGGACCTGGTAAAGTCATCATCTAGACGTGATCCATATGGATTAATGTGAGATTTTGATCCATAAGGATCACATTCTCACATTGATTTTCAAAAGAAAAACAATAGCAGATTTGACAAGGCTATGGAAGATATTGTGTATCCATTCTATTCTTAGGTTATCGAAACATGTAAACCCACCAGAATTTCCAGCCAACAACCAGGATTATTTGAAAACCTACAGCAGAAGAGAATTCCTTTTCCCATCACCACTTGCGCAGACGAAAGTCAAATACAACCCCTGTAATATATATTCACATAAAGTAAGAAACAGAAACCCCATCACTGCTGATTTTTCTCAGATGGGCTGTGGACCTAGATGTTTGGGACAAATGGAACTGACTAAATAGCATTCCAAAACCATTATTAAATAGTCAATTTCCTCCAAGTCGGCAACGGGTAGAACACATGTAGGTCACAAATTGGACGTTGTCGATATCACAGTAGTTAGATTTTAAATTGCAACCTTGGAAAAAATATGGAAGCGAGGCGTTGCATGGTGGATAAATTTGATGCTTGGATATATGCAGACCAATTCTGTCTCCCTATGAACACAGTGAACTAGGAACATGATCTATTTCTAACACAGACTATAATCTACATATCTGGAGCTCCAATTAGACTGAGGACAAATAAGACAAACCGCGAGGTGCTTGACCTGCAACCCAAATGATTGCATAATTCTACGTGCAGTTACACCAAGCTGCAACGGAGGAGTACTTTCTCACCTTTCTGCAAACTTCGCAGCTCTTGTTGGGGCATCTACTACCGAGTCATCTTGTTCTGCTACCTTCCTGTAAAACGGGAATCAGAAGTTAATTATGACAGGAATCTAAGTGATTCAAATGTCACCATTATTCGGCTGTTGTTCGATTTGAATTACTCCAAGATCTTGAAACAGCTGTCGAAAGCGATTTGTTACTATCCAATGGAGTAGATAAAGAGTAAAAAATAACAAATAATGTGCAGAGCTAGTACAAGATGGCAAAAGAGTTGGGGCTTTGCTTTCGCAAGTACATGTTGAAAGAAGAGTGCAATCGAGTTTGTTTAGGTTTTCTAGAGAACGAAAAATGCAACATACATCCAGTATTACTTGTAGTCAACCTACCAAAGCGGTAAAGTTGACGAAATATGATCTCTGAGTTTATTCCTGTTTCTTGTAATGGATTTTACATGCATAACTTTGTTCCACTACGTCTTTCAGTCCATGGGGAGAGACTGGAATCTTCCTACTCTCTACCACTGACAGCATGTACCCCACTAATCATAAGGAGAATATTATACTTCAGACCCCAACACAGTGATGTCTCACACAACAAACATGATCAATTTTTCAAGCAATGAAGATGCAGAAATCGATGCGAATGGGATAAGCTGTGGCATAAGTATGTACTTGAATGAAGGAATCGACTTCCGGAAAACTTGAATCCAGATAAGTTCCGTCCTTGTAGCCTGAGGCGGATCAGATGGAAAGCGATACGGAATGGTGCATGGACGATACTCGTAATCTACCCACGCCTTTACCAGGGGAAAAGGTACTTGCGGAGAAGTACTCTCCATTCTCGAGTCTTCACCGTCCGGTGATACTTCGCCCTTTGAAGCTTTTTGTCCACGAAAGGAGCTTTTTCTCGAGTATTTTCACTGCGGAGGATGAACAGGAAAGAGGCAGTAAGAAAACCAGAGACAACAATAATTACAATGGTCATCACATTTGTCATTTCCAAGAATCGAAGCCTCTCTAAACATGTGATTACGAACACCTCCTCATGAGGCTTTAAGAGGCACAGAATCCGACAGGTTGTACATCCTGGCCGACAAAAATCGATCACAGTCTGCATCTCAGCCTCTTACAATTTCCAAGCTATCTAGCTCAGAAGGAAGGAACCAGTTCTCCTGACCCAGCACATCATATCACATCAGCCATCCAAATTCGTCAAAGAGCGTACCACGACCAGGAATCACACTTCCTCCTTATCACAAAGCTGGAATTCTCTACTGCAGTCAATCAACTGATAACGGATGAAATTCCTTCCCTCTCCCGATACCAAGTTCAAGAAAACGTAGTCTCTAGAGAAAATGCAGCCTTCTCAAACTCCCCTCCCTCTCCGTCACTTCCTCGGCTGATCTTTTGGCTCAATAGATCAAAAGGAAAGCAATGAACCGGACTGAACCCACAGCAAGGACAACCATTGTCAAGCAATCGATCGCACTTACCGAAAATGTGACGGAATCGCCCTTCAGCATGCGATGAACAATTGGCAGAATGGCAAACTCTCGCTGCCTGTCGATCGGAGCTGAGGCGCGGGGTCGGGGGCTCGGGAGACCGATTCTGAGGCCCGTGCCGGGGCCGGGGCCGGACTCGGACTCGGACGTGCTTGATTTCTGAGGAGTTCGCTGCCCACGTGTCGGCGTCTCGAGCCAGGACGACGAGTACCGCCGGGAATGCAAAGCGGAGGCGCGTCCATTGGTGCGCGAGCGTGACACTTGATTGGTCCCTGTGAGCTGGTCGCGTCGAGGGCCGGATGCTCCGAGGTCTCGGTGTCTTTTACGGTGCCCTGCTCTGAACGTATCCACACAGCTTCGTCTGGGCGACGCTTCTCTTGCGGTGCGGTGGACAGCTCCATCATCACCTCGTCCACGTCCTTTCTCTGCGCATCTGTCACACGAGGCCGCCGTCAAGCTTCAGACGAGAATATGACATGCTACTCCTGGACTAACCACCGCAGCCAAACATTATCAGATTTGGTGGAAAATGTCCTTGGACCATAAACTTGCCGCTGGGCGAGGAAATGTGAATTTGAAGTTGATGTATGTTGGCATGACTGAATTTCGATGGCAGAAATTGGTTCTAAACTATTTTCTTACAATGGAGTGGGGAAGAAAATTTTTCTTCCGTATTCTTTGAGAGCTTAATACTGCAGATGCATTGTGGTATGAAATGTAATAAAGTTCTAGATGAGCGGAAAGAGTTACATCTTTGCTTTGATCACAGATGACAAATTTTTGCACATGCTTTCATTTCGTATGATATGCAAGCAAGTTTTTGTTATACATTCTAGACTCATGCATATGAAAATACTAGAACATTTAATTTTCTTGGTTATTATCATTTTATATGTATGTGTAAACATAATCAATTAATTTGTTTGGTAGTGACTATTGGTATTTTTATTAAAACTAAAAACTTGTTAAGATTTTTTTTCGAGTGGAATTTTTTTTAATATTATCATATAATATATTTTTTTTATTTGAGTTTTTGAACATGAACAACGAATGAGGTGAACGGCTACCTTAAAGAGTTTCATTTTGATTTTTCACCTTCTGATACGAGCATTGTTTAGTATAAAACAGTTCACGTACCGTGTTCTAAAGGTTATCAAGATCGATAAATATGTTACTTAAGAACATTTTTTCACAGTAACAATACATCTGAAAAAAATTTACAAAGTTTGACAACAACACTTTCAGAATTGAAAAAAAACACTTGAAGTATATTTGTTCCAACTACGATCCAATGAATGCAAAATGCTATCACTTGTTAGGTGGTTTTGAACTCCCTCTTGCTATCCCAAATAATATTCATCAAATTTGATGAAAAACATATATTACACTTTATTATGTATGAGGTTATACATCATACAATTGGTACATAGAAAAAGCTTTTATACGATCTTTGCATGTAGGTTGAAATAAGGTATCATTCAGTTGTCTTGTTCATGACTGGATATATATGTACAATCGAACGTATATACACTGATTTATAATCCATGACTGAAAAAATTCCTTGAACCCTGAACACATCTCTTGGGTGCATGAGTCAAACCCAGAACTTCACAAATCTAAAGCCAAAACTTCTAGTTTCATCAGATTCGATTAGTATCACAGTATCGAGCTGGCCAGTTAAGGGGTATGCAAGTGTCATTTTTTGTAAACGTGTATCTTTATCAATTTAGACCACAATGCAAATGAGATGCAGTTCATGCTTTCTTTAATATTACCCAATTGCAGCTACTACGAGCAAATGTCTAGGGTAGCTTTGAAAACATTTGATTGAGCTAGATTGTGTTACTTATAAAGAATATGATACCGCTTCTTAAAAGGCAACTAGACGATCATAATTTGTTATTCACAAATCTCATTCCGAGTTTTAGAAATGTTGGAGTGTTTGAAATATATTCTTTTGTTCTATCGCACGAAGTGACAAGAACTATACTTAACTCTTTCTCGTCAGTAAATTTTGAAGGATTTTAATTGATGTAGGTCTTAAATATGAATAGAGATCGTCGAAATCTTGTGATATCAGATATGGACTCTCAAAATGAAGACTTGGGCCTCAAAAGTACGTTCGACATTGAGATTTATTAACACATGTAGTCTGCCGTTGGGCTAAAAACTCATCCAATATGTCTACAATCTCTTCTAACTTTTGTTTAATGTGTCGAACCCATCTTTTTTCACTTTGATAACCATACAATCATTTTTGTGATTCGGAGGGTGCTAACTGGAATTGAATTCTCAGTTAGCAGTCACAATTTCCAACAGATTTTTTTTGGGGATTTGTCTTCGCGACTTGTGACTGTTTCAATCTTTAAAATTGTTTCGAAGACGATCTATCAAGCCTTTTTGCTGGGCGATACAGGGTCAGGACACTGTGGATACTTCAGAGCGATAGTCCATAAATCTACCTACACGAGACCAATGCAGCACGATCTACTGCAAAAGACTCAGTGGAATATCTGCGAGATGCGTTTTAGATGAAAACTAACAACATATTGATTGCACATGGTTGTCCATTCTGTTCGTATCTCAATGTGTATTGCTTCTTATCTTTGTTCGTGGATTTAAGCACCTAGAATACAACAAAATAAACAAATTGAGAACCAAATAGGAAGAGTTGGTGTTCGTGTTAGATGCTTTGTTTAATTTCCAACATCGTTTCATCATCTGACCTCTCCTACAAGAAGAGTTGGTGAGTATGAAGAGCTTGTGATGTTCGTTCACTTCATCCATTTCCTAAATCCACGTGTAAGTGATCCCATATATCTAGAAGTTCTTGAATTTTTCCAGCTTAGCCCATGCTCACATCACAGATCAAGGTAGAAAACGACACAATCGATGTGGATTTTCATCCAAATTTTAAGTATTTTGACCACAAAGTGGTGCAGACTCTGATGCGAAACTCGCACAACTGCGGTTTGCGGATGTACAGATATTTTTGCTGCTCCGCTTGTAAAGATTCCTAAAATGCACAAGAGCTGGAGCTTCACTCAAGTGGCTGCTTGACTCGTCTGCACATCCCCAAAGAAAGCAAAAAGAGGCTATGCACAAGATACTTCTACCTAGAAACAAGTTTGAAGCCTAGAATACAATTTGGACACCATCACAAAAGCGTGATAATTTCCTCCTAACTGCAACGAGTGATGGAACTGGGCACGATCTAACCACGAAAGGATGAGCTTTCAGAGAAAGAGGAAAATTGTTAAGGCTAAGTGCTCCGCAGCCTTCTGTTTTCTCTTAGACAGGGTAAGTAGTCAAAGCGGCATTGTCATTATAAGCGTCATCTTTGAGGTAAATGTAAACATGTGGATGATCCACGTCTAGGAAAACTGCGGTGGTGTCCAGAGCTGGACACAGCACTCTGTCGATGCACGCATCAGACCCTCCGAACACGAATGTCAAACCTCCTGCCGTAGCTGCTGCTGTGCGGAATCGTGCTGTTGGGATCATGGCCTTCTCAACCCATGTATCATCAGCACCGAAGAATACCTGTAGTCGAAAGAGCAACGAACAAGAGTCACCTGTGTCAGTTCCCAACACGTTCGCTAACCTAGAAGGAAGACAAATGCTCTGATTTGATTGTGTGACCACACAAACCTAAGTGCACAACATTAGGTTTGTGTGGTCGAAACTAAAAACCAAACGCTTGTGTGCATGCCCCAGCAGAACCAAAAACTGGTCAATTGCCATAGGCTTCTAAGTTCGGGCTTAATCGAATACGTTTTAAGAACCCGTGCAAAAGCTCAAACTGCATGTTTAGGAAAGGTACCTCATTCGTATGTTTGGGGTACTTCAGCTTATCGTTATCTTTGTAATGACCTTCTCCACCAATCAGCAAGAGCTTACGACCCGGAAGCACTGCAACAGCCTGTGCAGGAATTACAGCGAGACAGGTAAAACTAATCAGGATGGTCAAAATCTGCAAGCCACAGATCACGACTAGGCGATATTCTCTAGGTCTGCACTGGATTTGTACTCTCAAGGCAGCACACCAATAAACCTACACATAGCAATGCTTGGGATTTATGATTAAAAGTTGAACAAAATACAGGGGAGCTATTTAGTGAACTTTGCCTCCGAATAATTTGAACAAACGCGTCATTCGTAAGCGGGGTTACTTTAAAGCAATCAATAAGTTCACAACTTCAATTTGGGAATCCAGAGTACTCTGGCAGTCGACAAGTGCTCCAAGTTAAATAACTTCAAAATAAACGCACCCCATCTCCACGAGGTGTGAGAAGATCAGGCTGAGTAGTCCATTTCTGAGTGATTGGACTGAATGATTCCATTTTTGACGAGAATGGCTGAGTCTTATTGATGGTATCCTGGTTCGCAGCAACACAAAAAACTCTTGAGAAAAATACAAAAAAAAGAGCTTAGCAACATACTTACAAGGCCGTGATGAAGTTCAAAGCTGAAAGAGCGGGTATGAATGGAGGGTGTAAGCAGTTCTCCGGACGTAATACTCACGTAATAACCTCCTAGCACATAAATTTCATCTTCAAAGGCTGCACACATAAGGTCTCCTCGAGGTGTGGGCATGTCGGGGCCATACGACCATTTGTTCGTTGTAGGATCAAAAACCTGCATCTTATTCAGGTATCCATAATTCTTGTCGTAGCCACCTACTAGATAGACCTGTCACAAAAAGTCGAACCAATTAGCAATATTTACACAAAGTGTAGATTTATTGTTGATGATTCTGCCCGCATGTCTCTTACGACGAAGCAAGCAACTGCTTGTGTCATTACCGACCCAAGGTCGACAGTCGAAAATCATTGACTTGTCAACTAGTGATTTTCGAGCCCTGATCATATTCCGACTCTAGCAACCACATGCATAACGTCAGAAAGGTGAGGATCTGCGTGCTCTGATATACTTACTGTCAAAGCATAATGCAGAGTATCACTACCCCGGGTAGCCATGTACTGAGTCCGTAAAATCCTGACGTCGGACATCTTTTTCTAGAGTTTCGAAGTACATTGCTTCGAAATCTTACAATACTAGAATTTTTGTGAATAACTTAAAACGCTTCTTGAAATCATCGTCCTTGCCACTTTCTACCGAAGCAATCAAATTTACACCGACTGACCTTGCCGTTGATCGCGGCAGCGCAAGGATCGCTGTGAGGTTCCAAAATGTCCGGGCCCACGAACCATTCGTTCTTTGCTATGTCATAAACGTAAAAGGCTGCTGCGAGAGAAGCGTCGACTTCAAGATCGTCCTTTCTCCCACCAACCACATATATTTTGTCTGGTATAGACGGACGGAGAGAACCACAACGGGACCCAACCTGTCAGTCAGATGTTGGCGAGAAAAACGATATATCTAATCTACAAGATGCTGAGCATTGCATGCTCAAAATCGTGTATACGTCATCTTCTTTAACTTCTTACTTTTCAGATCCATAAAGGAAATTCTCTAGAATTTGACATGTGAATTTTTTTGCAAATATTTTCAACCCCGACTTGAAACTGTAAATGCCAGGATATGAATCATCAGCATTCGAACTTCAGTAAACCTGGGCCAAATTAATTCGACTCTGGACAAAAATAGAAAGACGAAAAGGAAGTCTTACTGTCAAGGAGAGCAGCCCCGAATCGATAGCGAGGCTCTGGGATGGGTGGCAACAGCGTATAATTGTGAAAAGTGGGATCAAATAACAAGAACTGATCAAGGACGGCACCAGACGCATTGGCTCCTCCGATAATGTACACCACTTCTCCTACTCCAATTGCAGAATGATCGGTCAACGCCGCTGCACACAGTTGAAGCAGTGATCGTTAGTGAGAAATTCCATTTCCTAGAGATATCTATAACTGCCAATTTGTGTTTGGGGTTCAAAATTTTTTGGGGAAAACCAGTTCCACTTCCGAGTAGTGTCCATACAAATTCAAGTCCGTACAGAAGCAAACGAAACTAGTTTCCAATTTGAGGATATTTCCTCGCTAACACACAAATCTCGAAATCTCCGAGAGTAAATCAGCAATTTCTCCACGCTTAGAAACCAGAAAGATCTCTTCGGCTTCTAAAACAGCGACTTCTCCAAATGTAGCACAACAAAGAAATCGCTATGAATTTCGGATGGTGCGGAACGGTTCAGGCAATAGCTTCCATGCCAGTTCGGCAGATGGTGATTTCTGACTACCTTCTAAAGCTTATACAAATTTGTACGGTCTCCAAATTAATGAGATATACATTTACCACGAGCCGAAACAGAAAATTGTAATCTCGAATATTGGAGCTCCTGCTTAAAATGATGGTGCACTTATCTGACACGAAGGAGAAGAGCAGCGGGAAACGTGAAGCAAAAAAATTACAAGTCTTAAGTAAAACTGAGTGAGTAAGCTTCGCAGAAATCTCTTCAAAAGTGTCTGGAAACTATAGAATGCAAAAGTTACAGGTACCCACAAATTCGGATGCTTCGTAACTTGGAAAGCTACCTCACGAAACATTTTGAACATTATGGTTTGTGACAGATGAGAGTTGCAACCAGGCATCCAGTGGGTCTACGTCGTATCCAAACATGCATGGTGGGACACTCTACTTTCAAGAAAATCAAGATTCATCCAAGAATCTGAATACAATGAGGGCAGGAAGTTTCTTTCCTTTTCGGAAACACAGCCAACAAGAGACGAGACAGTGCAATTAGAAGACACAAACCAGAAACATGAGTCTGAGTTGGAGATAAAAACCTGGAAGCGGAGTTCGCGGATTCCAAAATCCGCTTCCACGGAAGAGACTGCCTCCGTAGGTGAGGCCATTGATACTACGGTCTCCGGAGTAGCTCGCAAACGTGACATTGGGATGGGGGAGAAGACCTTGACGGTCTTTGAGTCGCCGGATTGTGCGAGCCTGCGTTCCTGCCACAATGATCAGGGCGAGAAGCACAAGAAACAGCAGCAGGAGGATAACTCCAAGAATGCGGCAATTTCGCTTCTGAGATCTTCTGATCTGCTGAAGCTCCTGGCTGAAATTCGCCAAGGCTCCATCGCCGGCATCGTTGAAGTAGGCTTTGTCCCGCCCATGCATCTCCATGGCTGATTCCAGCAGCAGCAGCAGCCCAGCTCTCCTTCTCTCGTCGGACTCTTCTCACGCCCTCCTATTTAAGCAGTCAGCGACCGACTGATCGAGCGAGCAAGAACGCCCGTCGTCCCCTGCCCTCCTCCTGCACTCCGCCCCGCCAGCGGACGCGCGACCAGTTCCCTCGACGCTGTCGCGCTCGTGTGCTCCAGCCGGGGCCCAGCGGCAGCAGCAGCAGTGCGCCCTCGACCCTCAGAGGAATCGCGCGTTGACGTGAGAAGTTGATCGCCGCAAGGAACTCGACTCCGCGCCTCGGGCGGCACTTTTCGAGATCCTGTTGCACGGAGCGGCCCTTTTCATCGAGCCCTCGCCTCGTCTCGCAGCGCAGCCAAAGGATCGCGGCAACTGGAGTCTGCTACCGACACCCGTGGCTTCGACCAACATCACGCACCATCGCCGAACAGCACATTTATAGACCTGGCGCAACCGGTTCCCCGGCGGCCGATCGCCATTTTTATAGACCTTATCTGCTGCTTGTCTTTCTCGATTCTGTTGCCAGCATGACGGGACCGCTGACAAGTGGGCGTCCTTGCCTCTCTCGCCTCTCGGCCTGCGGTCCACCTCAGGGCACCGCTTACAGGCCCCAGAAGACAGCAGGAAGTCGTCCCGTCGTCCTCCCCATCCCTCCCTCTCTCCCTCTCTCTCTCCACTTGTCTGCAAGGGGCCTCCTCTTCCGAATTTGCGCTGTCGAAGGTTCCGTTCCGTCTACAGAGCGTCCCCAATGGTTTTTGTTTCTGCTGCTGATGATGATGCCGACGACGATGAGGATGGTCCCTCGATGGAAAATATCTGCGTAAGCTTTCGAGGGGCCGGGCGGGCGAGCGGGCGGGCGGGCCCGGGGTTCTAGCGGATTTCCCGCGAGCCTATGGAGCTTTGCGTACACCAGCCCACGTGACTGGTCACTTGATGGAAATTTCTATAACGATGAAGCTCGTCCACCATCGCTGCCGTGTTGCGAGATGAGCCCGCCCGTGGCTGGCGCTGAGCAATCCAAAATTGAGATTGTTGGGAGGCACTGTTCGGGCCAGGGATCGTGTTCTTAACTCAGCTCGATGCACAATTTTGCTTTGCGCACTCTGATACTCCCCATCCCTTCGCTGAACGCTTGCCATCCCAAAAGTGCATTGACTTTCCTCGATCTCTACATGTACCGGTAAGTACACTTCCGTAGATCGATGGTCACGGACTCGGGAGTAATCGACCTTCGCCGTACCCAGTGGGCTCCACCTGCAGCCGGCGAATCACCGCAGAAGTTCCCAAGTCCTCGGCTTGTCTCCCTCGATTCGGAATCTGGCTGGCATCGGTGACAGGCACCCTTTCTTCATTTGAACAAAGTCGTCTCTACATCTCCCCGTCTTTGGTTAGGAAAATGTCGCGTTCATGTTTGATTTTCTCGTCGTTCGGTCAATCCAGATTCCGGACATCGTTTGGGAAGAATTTTTTTTGGTTCTCTTTCGGATTTGCATGCCTACGGTTTTTTTTCGCCGGTTCCGTGGACGGGTCCCATTCCAAGGTTTCGTTGGTTCGGACGGAACCCAGGAGCACCTGAGGTCGCCTCCAACACCCGCTCGCTATCTCGGGATGCACGCCGAAAGTGCACGAGGGTTGACTTGTCTTTTGTCCCGCTCGTTGTCTCTGTCCTCACCCGGAAAGCACAAGCTCTGAGCTCTGAGCCACAAATGATTGATTTGTGTTCTTTCGGCAAGGTTTGACTTCTTGCCCGATCACTCTCTTCCCTTGACTGCTCCGTCGGGCCCTCCGTCCGACGCTTGCGTTGTTTTTTAAAGTCTGACGTCTCCAAAGCGGCTCTTGGACTCAGTTGCTGCTCACGACCTTAAAACCTCTCGAATTGCGAGAACCGGTTGGAGCTGCGCATGTGCATCGAATTCCATCCGTGATCACAGCATTACTTGTTGGATAATTACGTGCAAACGTCGGCAATTATCCACCAAAGCCTTTGCATTCCTAGCGCTCTTTCGCTTCCTAACGATGACGTCAATTCTTGCGGCACACATAACGCTTGAAAGATCTGATCTCAGTGTATGTGCACTCTTTTCCTCCAACAATCAGACCAATACGAACTCAAGAGTGGAAGAACAACTGACCCACAACCTAAAGCTTACTCTTCTTGTCAAGGTCAGGGTCCGATCATGATTATTCTTGATGATGTGGGCCGAGGAGTTGCGGGCCTGACTTTGGTAGAAGACGTGAAGGGAAGTGGAAGAATTGTGCCTACACTGCATGGAAAGGGTTACAGCAGGCTATCCGAGGCTGAGATTACATCGGCACATTGCATGAAATGCCCGAGCTGCGAGCTGGGGACTACGATTGCACTCCTGCTCCTGGGCTAAATTGCGATTTGAGGAATATTGGGTGGAAGGGACTTGCTCCTTGTCGCTGGTCAAGCTGACGGGTCCACTTCTCCATCTTTCATAACGTTATCGCTATAGTCAAATGTCGATCAACTTGCACAGAAATCGAATCGTGAGCTCTGTCTGCTCATTCTCTCTAGGTCCCTTGTGCAATTTCCGTGCAACCTTCGCGAGAACAAGCCAAGTTTTGCAGAATACAATTTTGGATAAATTAAGAACTTTAGGACCGCACGTTTTGTTCACAAGCTAGGACTCTGAAAACTTGATTCTGTGTGGCTTCTCTCCCGTGTAGGTAAGTAATAATAGACCCTGGGTTGGCCGAGACCAGAGATGCAAGAGGAAGTTGGTTTGTCATTCGAAAGCAAACATCTTCGTATAGAATACACACCGTAACTATTGATACCAGACACAGACTGTCGTTCGAGTTCCAGTACGGATTCGAGCACGAACGCGCACTTCAGCAAGTTACAATCCCGGTGAAACTGTCATTCTTGATAATATATCAAGAGTATTTTGAATCCAATTCTACTCTATGTAATATATACAAAGGTACAATCGTAGACAGGTGCACAGACTACAACACAAACATCTAAACGAAGACAAAGACAGACAGAGACGAGTAAGAAACTGCTTATATTTACGGATTCTGAGACGATAAGTAATCAGCGGAGAACGATCAAATAACACGAATGTGAAGAACAGGAATAAAGTGGCAGCATTTTCTCCTTCAAATCCGATGCAGCTTGAAACAGAATCCAAAAGTGTATTTCATTGAAATTTAATTGAAAATCAATGACAAAATCCCCAGGTTTCTATATTTATCGGACTGGGATGCCGTAGCATGAAGTACTCACATAAAAATATCAAAACATTGGATATTTTATCTTCTACTGGATTTCGATTTCGTCCGGCATATAATCGTGTTCGGTTACGGTCCAGATTCTTTACATTGAAAACTACAGATCTCGAGGCGAAGATGCAGTCTATGCTCGAGAGTGAAAAGACGAAAACCAGTTGTATCAGATTCTTTCTCTTCACTAGATTGAAGCAATGAAATCCACGTACCTTCCCATGATAAGGTAACGATAACTCTTATTGAAAAAGATTAAAAAATAATTTCAACCATGGTGATCATCACATGTGTGGGTGTGACGAGCAACATGAATAGTCGTTGCAGAATATTGCCTGAGCTGCGTATGATTGTACGTGTTGCAGTCAGAAGAGCAAGATCAAGTGTGCAACCGGATGGCTCTCTTCATACCTTCACGTAGCGGGTCTTTCTGAACAAGTACATGAGTTCTCTAATTTCTTACAGGTACAGCCAGTGTACGATAGATGCTGGTACAGTGGCAATGGCACCCATCCGATGGAGATAACGACTTCCGCTTTCTCTGCGTTTGCAAGAGGCAACATCTGCTGGCATAGCGAAGACTTTTGGTGGACAATTATTTCGTCTTTCACAATCACCCTTTGAACAGATGTCGAGACGAGCAGTCAGCTGCCAACAATTTTAGGTTCGTCGACAGTTTTTTTGCCAGAAGTGCACGTCTTTCCAGTGATCCCAAGATCTATGCTGCAGATGATCTGCATTATTTTTGAGCTATAAAAAAATAGCAATAAGAGAGATTGATGTGACTACTTGTCCGGCAACAGTTCGGTGGCTTCTGCCCTGCCGCACGAGACACGATTGTTCCAGTGCATCCTGCAAATGCTAATGCTAGCACGACAAGCCCCGGAAGCTCGATCGTTGTCGAAGCGATGTCCGTGACTCGTTTTCCTCATCAATTTGGCAGAGAAACGACAGAAGTGATTGTTCTTGGCGTTCGAAGTCACCATCGCTGCTGCATCTGCTCCAACATCGTGTACTATTAGAAGAAAAGAAGGCACATGAAGGTCATACCCCACAGTACGAGCTCTTACTCCACGGATACGCAGACCTGTAGAAATGTTCAACATATTTCCAGAAGATTTCCAAATGGCATAAGACACAAGGTCATGCATCAAGTCGGCCTTCGAACCAAGTTCACATTCTCACTAAATAGCATGATACATTATCCAGGAATTGGAATCTGATCTGGACTTTTCTCAGGGACCTTGTAAGCCGATTAAATACTGCAATCAATATACAAGGCCATCCATATGGAGCTGCAATGTGTTAACATTGCAGATAGACTTGCATAGACTCTTATAGATAGACTTGCAGTAAAGCTATCATGCGAAAAAATTAATAAAAGTGTAATTTAGAAGAATTTTAGTTTCTCTGTATTGTCATTTCTTCCTTACTTTGCAAGTTTGATGAAAATCGTGGAGCGAAGGCTTGCTTTGTTCGTTTCAATGAATTATTTTTTTGCCAGCATGATTATCTTGCGGACATAGTTGGTCAAGTTTATACGTTGATTATACAGCAGTTAAAATAACAATTCCTGTAACTGACTGCGAGCAAGTGTGTCCATCACTCTGCTAGGACAATGATAAGTCATGATATCGAGAGGCAGTACTCTCTATAGGGATGTAAATAGAGTTGGGGCATCTCAGGGGTTTACTGATGTTTATGTGCAAGATTAAGATTTTGATGTGATTTACCGATGATTTACCGGACACTGAACAGGACGTTCCTCTTCTAATTATTTTTTAAAAGTGAAAATTCCCAAATTTGAATTTTTGTTGTTCTTTTGGTCTAGTGAATGGTACTATACATACATTCTGCAATTTTTCCAGATTAATGAAAAATATAGGACTAATATATAAACAAACTTTATTACTTGCTAGTTTCACACTAATCTCAATCTAAGATCACTACTACGAAGATCATCTAGCCATGTTATTAAGCCCTAAATAGTGTACACATGTTAGACTTTTTACTCTCTTATCAATTTAAAGTGCACACACACACACACATATCACTACAAGTCATTCATCACAATACATCGATTTTATTTCTTGGCACAAATGTGTAATAAAATCTAGCTTAAGACTTTGAGAATTTTACATATGTTCAATTTTCTTTTTTTATCATTATTGATGGAAAACCAGTGAGATTATTGCATAAGTTGTCAGATCAACTGATTGTAATATTTTATTAGAAAGCCTTAAGTAACTTTCCTTGACATTTGATAAAATTCTAAAACTGACGAAAAATGTTCAACCTTTACATGTCATCCATCGAATACTATCAGATCAATCTCAGAACTCTTTACCAACACT